CAGAGAGTTCGACAGACACTCGACCCGGCAGCTCACAAAGCGCAGATACTACACTTTGATCCTAGCCACCGGGCCGAGCGGGTATTCTTTTTAGAGATAAGGTCTTATAGATAAGGGCAGTGGCGATTCTGGAACTCTGATAGTGGAGTGGGCTACTTGGAGGCCGAGATTCAATTCAAGCCTCGTCTTTATTTTCATATGACACCACTATCGTATACACAACTTAGAAATGAGTTTTAGTCATAAGTATATTACTAAATTAAACGGAATAACTTTTCATTCATAGTCGTGGAGTTCTAATCTATTCTTGCCCTCTTTTCCACACTCAAGCTGTTGGACCACAAGAGAGGGGTTAACTTCAAAACACAATCAAAAGGTTAATACTAACGTCAATACTAGCAGAACAGTGTAATGTGTAGAATCGCCTCTGGATAGGGGGGGTTACTGATTAATGGATGCATGGAAGGAGATATCAATAGCCGGCCACTGCCATCTCAGTCGTCCGAGTTATCAAGAAGGCAGTATTATGAAGCTTGCCAAGAACGGGGAGACGAAGCAAGAAATAGATCCAATGTTGCTCGGTTTGGCTATACAAACACGTAGGGAAGTCCACGATTTGAATGAGGGATTGGCCAATGGAAAATTTTAATGTCTGTATATGGGAAACATCAGTACTTTTAGAATGCTTCAGCCACGTGTCGTGGTGAACATTAAAGTCACTGAAAACGAAGATGTTCGCAGATGAATGGAGAGAAAGTGCGGTTTGTGTCAGGGTAGCTTCTTGATTATTCTAATATCGTTCCCAAATATGACTTAGCAATTCTAACAGATCTTTATGGCGTACTTCATCGAACGTCTTTGCGTTATAAAACACAGGTACTCTCGTAATATAACGAAAAAGCAATAAGTCTGGTAGTAACACGACGTAGTCTGGGGTGTAGATTAAAAGTAATGATGCCATGGTTACGAAATTATACTTGAATCCTGATAACGTCTTTGCTGGATGCAGTAATTTTTGCTGAGAATTCGCCGTATGAACCTATATATTAGACACGTTTTCTTGAAGATAACAGAAAAGTTATATATATATTGTATTTTAAAATGTTTTATTTCTAATTGATGGATCCATTTCATATCTTAGAATTTAAAGTATGGTAGAATTTTCTACGATATTCTTTCCTTTAATATTTGAAGCTTTTGACTGGCTTCAATCGTTATCAAGAATCATGGTTCTTTTAATGTTTCTTTTTTTTTCTCATTTCTGAGTTCACTTTATGCTTGAAAGTATAGGTGAGATTGTTATTGTAAATTTGTAATATTATGTGAACACAGCGCAGTATGGATTCTGGGAAATGAAATCCATTTTGGAATATCTTTTCCAAGATTATAAGTGGTTTTGCTTTTCATTGTTTGTTTTCGCATATCATGGATAACTTTTCTTTTCTTTTTTTTTTTAAAAAAAAGTTGAATCTTTTGTTTATTATTTTTTTCGCCGGATATTATTTCGCTAATGACAACAAGCTCTCATTTGTACCTCTTCTGTTTTTGTCTCATGCGTTATTATACGGTAACATCAATGTTAATAACCCTTTCCTTATAAAGAAAGATACGGCATTTTTTTTAAGATAGCAGCCAGTGCTACACGAGTCTTGTTTTTTCTTCATTCCCTGGTCATCTGACTGTAATATATATTCTCCTCGCCTCTAAAGATAATGATAATATTAGTCGTTTCTTACAGAGAAAAATTTAGCATTCATTGACTGAAATCTGAAACGAGTTATGCTTTTCTTAATTCCCTGTATAACAGGCTGGGATCAGAGTGTAGTATCTGTTCTCCTCAACTCTAAGGGTAACGATAATATTAGCCGTTTCCTTATAAGGAAAGATATGGCATTTATGAAGCGAAGAACCAGTGCTACATGAGTCCTGTCTTTCTTCATTCTCTGATCATCTGGCTGCAGTATCTGTTCTCTTCACCTCTAAAGATAGTAATAATATTAGCCGTTTCTTACAAGAAAAAATTTGGCATTCAATGACTGAAATGTTACACGAGTTATGCTTTTCTTCATTTCCTGTCTATCAGGCTGGGATCAAAGTGTAGTATATGTTCTCCTCATCTCGAAACGTAAAGGTAATATTAGCCGTTTCCTTATAAAAAATATTCGGCAGTCAGTGACCATGCGACTCGAGTTACGCTTCTATTCACTGCCGAGTCATCGGGCTGGGATTAAACAGTAGTATCTGTTCTAATCTGTAATAGTAATGGTAATATTAATTGTTTTCTTATGAGAAAACATTCGGTATTCATTGATCGAATTGCTACTCGAGTTATCAAATTGTGTCTGCCGACGGATGGACAAACAACATTTTATCACTCAGTTGTGTTTCTGTCTTTAGACATGGCACAACAAATAAATGAGGACGTCTGGTCACGCGGATTTCAATCCTGTGACAGCACCTCTCTCTTAGCACCAATGAAAGTAGGGGTGATGAATATCAATATATATATATATATATATTAATAGAAATCTTATAAGAAACTATACTCGCTCGGACGATCCGCTTAGGTGAAACCTTGGTAGGTTTGTCTGGCTCTCTAGGTTTAACTATATATATATATATATATATATATATATATATATATATATGTGTGTGTGTGTGTGTGTGTGTGTGTTAGAGGTACGAGATTTGATTGATGTCAAATCAGTCGGATTTCGATCTCGGCTTGAAGCTATCGGACGACTAGCCACACTGAGGAGTTATGATACAGCGAAACAGTCTTTCTATGGATGATGACTATATATATATATATATATATATATATATATATATATATATATATATACGTGTGTGTGTCGGTGTATTTCATATTTCTCTCTCTCTCTCTCTCTCACACACACACACACGCACACACACACATGCACACACACACACGCACACACATATATATATATTTTATATATATATGATAACGAACAAAGATAGCGGTTACTCCTCTCAAGCTAGTACGACTTCTCCAGTCCTGAAACTGCTAAGAATTTAAGGACTGTCTTTCTCTTTCCCGTTTACCTGTTGATAGGCGGTGCCTATTCATTTGATAGTGAAGTGTTGAACAAAATTAACCAATTATCAAGACGAGAGATTTTCTTATAAAAGGAGTTCTCCCTTTACTTTCAGTGAGAATATTCACTCTTAGTGAACACGTAGGCCTGAACCTGCGAAGAATTTTTGATATCTCACTCGTTCTCTCTCGCTCTCTCTCTCTCTCTCCCTCTCTGATTCACTGAGGAGTAGTAGATAAAATTAACAATATAAGGGCAATAAAAGCAGCCAATTAAGGCTATACGCGTTGTGCCGTTTAACATCACGCGAAAGAACTCCGGGACAAGTTATCTAGTGGGATTTTCACCAACAGGCGGAGGCGGAACAACTTATCTATATTCTTCCCAGGAAAAACAGTGAAAACGATCGTAGCGACGCAATGACTTGGTTCACAACCCAACAATGATCAATGATGATTGATATTGCATTTGAATTCCTGACAATCAAAATAGTCTGAAAAGCCGGAGGAAAGTTCCACAAGCGAGAAATGCGAGAGAAGTAACTGTTAGCATAGAACCTACGGTTAAATCTAGCCATTTCAGTGGTAAAAATATGAGACGTTCCCACTAATACGGTATTGCGCCTAAATTCATAGTCTAGGTACCATAGAGAAAGCTCATCAAAACAAATACCATAAAAATATTTATAGAAAAGACAGAGGGAAGCTAGATTACAGCAGTGACAATGCGTTATATAGGAATAATTTGTCGCTGCCTAAAATTGAGTTTGAACTTAGATCACCAGTGAGCAAACACAGGTGATCCCATTATTGAATTAAGTGGATGACGTGACCATAGATAAAACGCATAAATAGAAAGTATCGTAATGACTAATGATAGGCATTTCTAGTCTATCCTTTATTACAATTCGAATCTTCATTTCTATTCTATCCTCTATTACAATTCGGATCTGCATTTCTATTCTATCCTCTATTACAATTCGAATCATCATTTCTATTCTATCCTCTATTACAATTCGGATCTTCATTTCTATTCTATCCTCTATTACAATTCGGATCTGCATTTCTATTCTATCCTCTATTACAATTCGGATCTGCATTTCTAGTTTATCCTCTATTACTATACGGACCGTTATTCTCTACTCTATTCATTATACTATTCCTCTATTCGGATCACTATCCAAATTACTGTCCGAGCGAGTATTATCGAGCAAGCGCTTTTAGTACGAGTGGTATTTGAAGACGTTTGACACCAGTATTATTCAACAGCGTATATATAGTTGTGTGTGCGATTACAAAGTTTCTACTATAACTAGCATTACGAAAGGGACAACGAATATTCGTTGACATCACAAAAGCGGCAAAGAGTGTTCGCTGACATCACAAAAGAAAGTGTCCGAAGACAAGATGTCAGGGCAGAAACAATAGCATTGCAGATTTTTCTTTTATTAAAACAAAAACAATAAACCAAGGATAAAGGGTGCATCCATAATATAGGAGTTTATATTTGAAGAGATTCCCACAAGCGAGAAGTGCGAGAGAAGAAAGTGTTAGCATAGGACTTACGGCTAAATCTAGCCATTTCAACTGGAAAACGATGAGACCGAACTGCCAATGTAGCACTGCGCTTAAATTCGTAAAGATGTAAAATCATCCGAAGAATTACCATTAAAAACTTTACGGAAAGGGTACAGGGAGGGAAAATAAACAAAGAAATGGCAGAGAGCTGGAAACAATTATCACGGGTTATCGGAACGAAACATGTTCGAGTATTTGATAGGATCGGTCTCCCTTGCGGTAAGGATGTAAGAACTTCTTCAGAGGGAGGTGCTACGGGGAAGAATCCGATTTCTTCGTCGTCCGAACTGGCGTCCGTCAAGGATGTGTTCTCTCCCACATCCTGTTCAATTACATTATTGACTGGATCCTGGAGAATAGCATGGTTGGCCCCGCGGGTGTCAGAGTTGGCCACGACTGCTCCATCACCGATCTCCATTATGCCGACGACGTTGCAATCCTTAGCGAGTACTACGCGGATGCCCAGCTTGCACTCGACGAGGTCAGTCGCAAGGCAAAAATGGTGGAGATGGATATTAACGCTTCCAAGACAAAAATTCTCTCTGCGAACTACCCCCTACCTGATCGAGTGGCTGTAACCCTCGATGGTGAAGCTGTGGAAGAGGTCGAAAGCTTCAAATATCTTGGCGCCAATTTTACAGCCACTGGTCAAGCGAAGGACGAAATCACCACCCGTATAAATTTGGCTAGAGCTGCCTTTGTCCGTCTTCAAAAACGACTTTGGTCTCGCCAGGAGATAAGACGATCCACGAAGTTGGCGAATCTACGAAGCCATAGTCAGAAAAATTCTTCTCTATGATTGTGAGACCTGGCCACTGCGCAGAGTCGATCTTCATAAGCTTGAGGTCTTCGATCACTACTGCCTCCGCCGTATCCTGCGCGTACGCCTCTCCGACCGGATCCCCAACTCGTCCATCCGCGCCAGGTGCAACATTCTGGGCCTGGAAGAAACTCTGCTTAAAAGGAGTCTCCGGTGGTTCGGCTACGTGCTGCGGCGGCCTGGTGATGAGTTCGTCCGTAAACTGGTGGCGCCAAACGCAGCCACTGGTTGGAGGAAGCGCCGAGGTGGTCAACTCAAGACGTGGCTCGCAACGGTCAAAGCAGATATGTCCGGTCCTCGCGTTTTCGGGGTCCGACGCTGGAATCGTGAATGGCTCGATCATGCCGTCGATTCTGCTGCCGATCGACGGGGGTGGATGGCCTTGGCGAGCGATGTGGTTTATTCAATTGGAGCCGACTCAACCCACCCCGGGTGAATGCCGTTACAAGACAAGAGATTAGCATCGGTCGTTATAAAAAAAAAAGCGAAGAAAATGAAGAAAAGAGTTTTGTATGTGGTGACTATTCATTTGATAGTGAAGTGTTGTACAAAATTAATGAATTATCAATTAGTGGCAGGTGAAAGATTTTCTTATAAAAGTTCTCCTTTTACTTTTCAGTGAGAATATTCACTCTTAGTGAACACGCAGGCCTGAACATGCTAAGAATTTTTGATATTTCACTCGTTCTCTCTTTCTCGTTCTCTTTCTCTCTCTCTCTCTCTCTCTCTCGCACGCGCTCTCTCTTTTTCTCTCTGCTTCACTGAGAAGTAGTCGGTAACATTTCCATTCTAAAAACAATAGAAGCAGTCATTCATACGATAACACCATGAGAAAGAACTCCCGCTGAAATTACATCTAATTCTAATTTCAGCTAGAAACAGAAAATAACTTTAATCTATTAGTCCAAAGACAGCAGTCGTAATAATAATGATTCTTCTTCTTCTTCTTCTTCTTCTTCTTCTTCTTCTTCTTCTTCCTCCTCCTCCTCCTCCTCCCGCCATTCGGTCTGTAACTACTTCTAGCTTTCTTTTTCTTTTTAATTTTTTTCAGTCCATTTCTTCTTTCTTCTTTTTTTTAATTTTTCAGTCCATTTCTTCTTTCTTCTTTTTTTAATTTTTCAGTCCATTTCAGTCCATTTCTTCTTACTTCTTTTTTTAATTTTTCAGTCCATTTCAGTCCATTTCTTCTTTCTTCTTTTTTTAATTTTTCAGTCCATTTTCATTTTTTTTTTCTTTTTCTTTTTTTTTAAATTTTTCAGTCCATTTCAGTCCATTTCAGTCCATTTCTTCTTTCTTCTTTTTTACAGCCTTTTTTCACCTCCTTTTCCCACGTCCATTTCATTCTTTCTTTTTTTTAATTTTTTCTCTCCATTTCCCATCTTTTCGTCTTTTCTTCGGCTTTTTTAATTTTTTCCATTTCACTCCATTTCAGTCCTCCCTCCTCCTTCTTCATCTTCTTCTTCTTCTATTTTGACTTCTAATCTTTTTTCAAACCTTTCCATTTTCATTTTTTATCTTTTTTTTTTCCTTTAAACAACCCCACCGCCTTCTCATTCTTTTTCTTTTGTTTCCTTTTTCTCTTTTGTCTTCTCCTCTTGTTCATCGACGTCTCATCTCCTCTTTTCTGAACTTTTCACACGGCTTCCTACATTCTTCCTTCTTTTTTTCTTTTCTTTTTTTCTTTTTTCTTTTTTTTTTTATTTTTTTGTTTTCTCCACTTCTTCACGCCTTTCATCTTCCTCCTTTCTATCTTTTTTCCGGTTCTCTTCTTCTTCCTTCCTTTTTCTTTTGTCTTCTCCTCTTGTTCATCGACGTCTCATCTTCTTTTCTGAACTTTTCACACGGCTTCCTACATTCTTCCTACTTTCTTTCTTTCTTTCTTTCTTTTTCTTTCTTTCTTTCTTTCTTTATTTATTTTGTTTTCTCCACTTCTTCCACGCCTTCTCATCTTCCTCCTTTCTATCTTTTTTCTTACGGTTCTCTTCTTCTTCCTTCCTTTTTCTCTTTTGTCTTCTCCTCTTGTTCATCGACGTCTCATCTCCTCTTTTCTGAACTTTTCACACGGCTTCCTACATTCTTCCTACTTTCTTTCTTTCTTTCTTTCTTTTTCTTTTCTTTCTTTTTTTTTATTTATTTTGTTTTGTTTTTTCTTCCACGCCTTTCATTTCCTTTTATCTTTTTTTTCTTACGGTTCTCTTCTTCTTCCTTCCTTTTTTCTTTTGTCTTCCTCTTTTCATCGACGTCTCATCTTTTTGAACTTTTCACACGGCTTCCTACATTCTTTCTTTCTTTCTTTCTTTTTTCTTTCTTTCTTTCTTTTTTTCTTTATTTTTTTTCTTTTTCTCCATCTTTCTTTCCACGTCTTCTTCTTCTTTTTCTTCCTTTCCCTCTCCTATTCATTTTCTTACTATGTTTTCTTACTGTTTCTTTTCTTTTTTCTTTTGACTTCTCGCCTTCTTCCGCACCTTCCCATCTTCCTCTTTTCTATCTTTTTCTCATGGCTTCCCACCTTCTTCTTCTTCTTCTTCTTCAATGCGAACCGAATTTAATGTTGAAATGCCAGTGATTGGAGATTGATTTTCCCAACCATCAAATCTTATTTACCTTGGTGGAAACTGTCACGGCAACAACACTGGTCGAACGATCGATATCAATGCGTCATTTTTAAATAATCGATTGTCTTCGCCATACAGCTCAGCTTGGCGCTTGGAGCTCGCATAAAAGGGAAAATATTTACATAATCAGGCAAAAAAATATGTGCCTTTCTACGCAGATTACAGAAGTGACATCATTATATATCCGCTCGGCAAAAATACAAGCCACAAAATTGATAGACATGATACGTCTAAATTAAACTAACCTGTTAAAATGAAAATATACTTTTTATATATATATATATATATATATACATATATATATATATATATATATATATATATATATATATATATATATATACTCAAAGGAGTATGCTGTGTGTGCGAAAATAGAAAGTGGTAAGAGGCGAATTTTATGAGAATATGTGAGTAAAATAACTGAAAATAACGGTGGCCCTTAGATTTGACCAGGGTAAGATTGTTAAGGTCAGGAAAGTATCCACTTGGGAGTCGGTTCAAAAATTTAGCAGTTGGTGGAAAGAAGTTGTTTGAGGGAAATGTTCTTAAAAAAGCATCGTCAGTGGGTTAATGTACTGGGTGAAGATTACTATATACATACACACACACACACACATATATATATATATATATATATATATATATATATATATATATATACTATATGTTGTTGAAACTGAGTCGAGGAATCTGAAATAATAATAAAAACGAAACAATATTAATAAAACCCAGTGTGTCTGAAAATTTTAACTTTATAATATTTTTTATTGTTCAAAACACACACACACACACACATACATACACACACACATTGTGTGTTTTGAACAATAAAAGTTATTAAAAGTTAAAATCTTCAGACACACTGGGTTTTATATTAATATTCTTTCGTTTTTATTATTATTTCATTTAGATTCCTCGACTAGTTTCGGCCAACATGGCCATATATATATATATATATATATATATATATATATATATATATATATATATATATATCATATGGGCTAAGATCCACACAATGTACAGGGCTCCTTCAGGAGGTTGTTGTGTGAGCAAGTAGGGTAAGATTTAAGATGCCCAGTTTATGAGGATACTATGGAAAGTTAAGTGTTAACCATACACTTTAACTATTTAAGATTGTAGAGATCGTGAAAGCATCCTCTCGGATGTCGGTTCGTGAGAAGAAGCTGTTTGAGTAGGACTTACTTCTCATCGATGAAATACGAAGGGTAAGAAGAGAGTTCGCTACAGTGTATGTGGCATAAAGATGTGAAGGTCTGAACTGGTGGAACTAAGGGATTAGCTGGTCAGAACATTTTCCATGGAAATAGCGATAGATTAACAAGAAGCTTGCAATGTTTCGTCTGTGAGAAAGGAGTGTTACATTCACCCACAAGGCCACAAAAATTGAAGAATGTATAGCCCCAGCATCGAAATAATGAAATCTTGTAGTTTAATTCTTACGTTTATGTTTTGTTTTTGTTGTGTTTTTTTTTTTTTTTTTTTTTCATTAAGTTTCACCCTGTAAAAGTCCTGGGGTGTGTCTTTGTTGTACATCACCCTCAGTATAAAGGGTCGGTAATCTTCGATCGAATACCAGAGAGGATTGACAATATCCTCACCGAATTTCGTTCGGCCAGCTTTCACATATGCGTTGACTGCAACGTTCACCACAAAGAGTGGTTATTCCAAAAGACAAATGACCTAATCCGAGGAAAAAAATAGAAATCGATTACACCCTGTCACTCCAGTGGGTCTAAAAGTTACCGTATGGTGAAAGAAAGGATATTAAAGCGGTAGTTTTTTTTTATTGATTTGCACAAGGGTGTAGAAGTTTTATATGCGAATCTTTACATATATTAGATATTTCTTAGAAAACCATTTTTTTTTTTTTGCCTTTCATCAGGATGGCTGATGCTAACCTCCAGAAATATAACCCATTGCGACATCTCGGTCTAACGTTTTACACTGATATAATAGTCAGCTACAAGGAAATGTAGTTTATTGTTTCATGCTAGATACTTTTACTCACCAGAATTTATTTGACGTATGTATACGTCAACATTTCGTCCGTCCGTTGAATAATCTTGTCATATCTACTCCCGTTCTTCTGCTATAGATCTAGTGATTCTTGGCAAAATCCAAAGAATCTGCCATTTTATCGGTCCTTACCTGAAATCTCAGCTTCAAATACTTTCCTACCAGTACCTAGGTGGGCGACTGCATGGTAATAGCACTTGTTGTAAGCTTGGATGTGAGGGTGGTGTAATAGATAATGGCTCGCAATTGATAATCGGCATGCCGAGATCCAATTCCTAATGGGTTCCTTCTATTCAATTAAGAGCAAATATTCTTGATAAAGATATGAATCCACATCTACCCACCCAGCAATAGGTTAATTAGTAAGAATTGTATCAGTAAATCATTATCATCTTCCAAAATAAATTCTTACAATCTAAAAAATTATTTTTTTTGCTTTAAGTACCTTACACAGGGTTAATATCCCGTAGATAACGAATCAATCAATCAGTATCATGAAACACACACACAAACACACACACACACACACATATATATATATATATATATATATATATATATATATATATATATATATATATATAAGTTGGGTTCGTTATATTCACTAGTAATAGATAATGTCTCGGAATTGTCAATGGTAGAGCCGAGTACGTTGTATTCACTTACGAGCAAATACCATTGGGAGAATATATGAATCAAGCTCTTCCCCCCATCTATGGGTTAATTAGTAAGACTTATATCACTAAATCATTATCACCAAAAAAGAGAAGTTCTTACAAGCTAAAAATAATTTCTGGCTTTAAATAACCTTCAAGGGGTTGATAAGACGTAAAAAAAAACGAATCAGGTTATGAATAGCATGATAATACGTAAAAAGATAAAAATAAGAGCTATGATACACTCCCCTGGTCAGGTCATGAAGATCAACTAATTCTTTTTTATTTTCAAATTATTTACAAAAATAATTCTTATCTATTAAGCGAATGATAAACGCGCACGAAGACAAGAAATACCAACTGTCTTGCGTAATCTTTCCTTTGGCCTTAACCCAGGGGTCAAATATCGTCTATACAATTCCAGTTCTTCAAGACGCACTTACCTACCTTGTCGATCGATTTTATCAACAACTGAAGTACATCAGAATATAAATCTATCACAAGCAAATTGTCAATTTACCAAAAATGGCATCAAAGATCGGAAATATACTGATTTCTTTGAAAACCACATTTTTTTTTTTTTTTTTTCGACTTGCTTAACGAGAAATCAATGAACCATTGTTGAATAGGAAGTGAAAGAAAAATGGCCTATAGTTTATCCTAAGAAAACGGAACAAAAACAAAAATAAAAAATGCTTAATATAATCAACAGGGAACTATAGATGCCTTTAAACTCCGTTGCATTAATTAAAACTGAAGTTCTCTTATTTTTCACCGTGTGTTGTGACTTCACGGCATTAAGTTCTTAGATTCTTCATTTGAACTAAAATCTTGGAAATCTCTCAAAATATTTCAATGAAATTTTAAAAGGATGCTTTTTATTTTACCACATATCTAAGCGTAACGGCAATTAAATTGTAAACAATAATAGTTAATAATAATATAAATAATAATAATGATAATGACAATAATAATGATAATAATAATGATAATGACTAATAATAATGATAATACTGATAGTAATAATAATGATAATAATAATAATAACAATAATAATTATAAAGATAATAATGATAATAACAATAACGATAATAAT